CTTGTTTACCCCAGATATACGATGCCGAATTGCATGAACTGTATCCGGTTAATATAATTGAGGTTAACATCACAGTGAATCAAAAGGGCATGTAAAATTGTTGGGCTTAGTAATGAAAGAGTTCCTAAATGGTTAAATCAGCTGTACTGAATGGTAAATGTACAAGGGATATACCAAAGCGAAGCTGGGAAGATTGCGTTAAAGGCGACCTGAAGGGACTGGATTTAGACGGTGAACAGTGGAAGGAGGTGTGTAATAAGTGATTGGTGGTGTTGGCATCAAACCTTCGGGTCCGCTAAGCCTTTTATTATTATTTATCTTAGATATAGGATTCTGGACATGTTTTGGTATAAGTAATCTATTATGAATCTTTTTCAATAATTTTTGTAAAGAAAATCCTCTCTTTTGTTGAAAATACCTCTTTTTTATACTGTTTACACTTTATGAGATGAAGTGTGTAGTTTTATCTGCTCTGATGAAGTACGATTTAGAGATATGTTTAGAAATATTTTAGATACTCAAGGATTTATTGTGAAACTTCTGATATCATTCAATATTTTCATAACCTTAAAACTAATGACCAATTGAGGATAATCCATCAAATTGTTGTAATTATTATTATAATGTAGTCTAAATTATTGAAATTTATAATTAGTATATTATTACAACTGTAACATATACAATAAATAAATTTGAAATGATAAAGAAAATAAGGAGAAAAAATGTTTAAACCAATTTATAGAATAATGAAATGACAACAATATTTTAGAAATAAATTTTCCATGCAAAAAAAATATAAAAAATTATAAATGTGATCATTACAATCAACAAAATAAGAAAAAGTAAAAAAGAAGAATAACATTAAAGACTAATTTAATATAAAGGAGAGAAGAGGAAAGGATGATAGTATAAGTTTAATAAAATAAAAATATTATTATTTGAGTTACAGAAGATGAAAACATTTTTAGTAAAAAGGAACTCAAAACCAAATTAATTAAAGTTTCTATTCAAACATGCAAAATGTAGACTAATTCAAATAGACACCTCTTTATTGAGATGTAATGGAGGGCTCCCGTGCCTCGATCTGTATTCATTGTGAAGTTTCACCATATCCTTTTGGAATTCGTCATCATTTTTCACTTCGCTAGCCAAGCTCTTCGGAGGGTGAGCGAAACCACTGTAATTCAAACATTTATTAGCTGAAAAACCTTTTGAAGTATTAAAAAATGTTATATAATTTATGAGGCATCTACTAACAAAATGGAATATTTCCATTTCTCAAGTTGCTACAATAAATATTCATAAAAAAATTAATTCATACTTCAAATAAATGGCAAACTTTTTAAATTTTTTTTGGGCAAAATATTGAAATTTACAGCTATTCCTAATTATTAGTAGAAGTTATAATTTTTCAACTTACCCAAGTGGTGGCACATTCTCAGCAAAAGAGCCGATGAAATTTCCAGGTGGGTTATAATTGCAAACTACATAAACTTGTCCACTCTTACTTGTTGCCATACCTACGCCAAGCTCCTCACTTTCCATCCATACTACCTGAGTGAAATGTCCTGAAAAAAAAAAACACATAAGATTATGTAATTAAAAATAAATTATGTTGTAGATTTTAATATAAACATAAATTAAATTAAAAATGATAAATGGGGAAATCAAATTATAGTATTTTATATATTCTGAATATTTTTTGTAATAATATTTCTGAACTAAAACTTGTCTTTCTAAACAAGAACTGCTCGATGGATTGGAAAAATTCCTAAAAGAAGCTTTTGGCTTAAAGAAAATCTGAGATGAGAAACATATTTTCAAAAAATATGTAGATGGAAAAGCAATCTATATACCTATTGAAATTGTACTACTTTGGCTCATTGAGACTCAAAGATTTCCAACACCATTCAACTGGACAATATTTAAAAAAAATTATTTAATATCTAGGAGCAGAAGATATATGGCTAAAGTAAGTACTAACCAGAGATGATTATATTAATCTCATGGAAAAAAATCGCAAAACCACATGCATTATGTAGATATTGAAAATACCCTAAATAGCACATCTACCCCCTTTATTGACATATAAACTCCCTGGAAAGTAGTGAAAAGTATCTTAATTTAAAAACTCATAGACAAGATCAGACTATTGGCTCAACTAGGATTAAGCGGCAACAAGAACCTAAAGACTCTACATTTAATAGCATACTATAAAATTTAATGTGAATCTTTGTGCTCTCTATGCCTAGAAAGGAGAAGACTCGATATCCCTCTTTATTCTGTCATGCCCAATATTGCAACATTATAGATTAAGATTTATTAGCCCAGTTATTTACTAGTGTTGCCCAAATGCGAGACCGAGACGAGTTTTGATCTTGCAAACTCGGTCTTGGTCTTGCGTAAGAGTCTCGCAACATTCTTGCAGTTACATTTTATTTTATTAATACAGAGATATTTCTGTAATTTTTTAAATAGAAGAAACCCAACAAACCCGATTGAAAAATTAAAAGAGTTAAATACAAAAGTATATTGGTTATAACAATTCTTTACATATAGTAAATGAAGATGTCAAGTATTAGTAATTATTTTGTCTTAATTTTTATTGAAAAAGTCGATTTTGCTTTACCAGTCTTGCAATAATTAGACAATCTTGGCCTTACAAAGTGCTAGACCAAGACCGATTTTGGGAAACACTACTATTCAAAAATTAAATACAATAGACAAATTTACATATGTCCTTAGACAAGATAAAGAAGAAGAAATCAAGAAAAAAATCTTTCACTTTACCTTGTGTAGTCTAAAAATCAGACAACTTTTTTTAAATGTACAAGAACAAAGACAATTTTGTCTATATTTTACTAATAATTTATACCTAAAGTTTTATCATTAATATTGTTATTATTTGATGATAATAAGTTTAAGAACCACTTTGATAATATTTTAAATTCGGGAAATCATAATCCGTGTCCTCCTTATGAGTACCAGAGTGCTGAACCGTTAATAGAAGAACGGAGTAAAGAGGAAGTTGAAGTAGCTATCGGAAAATTAAAATCAAATAAAACAGCTGGAATCGATAATATTCCTACTGAACTAATTAAGGCATGCGGGGAAGCTGGAATTTCTAAAATACATCGGTTGGTTGAAAAGATCTGGGAGAATGAGAAATTACCTGAAGAATGGAAAGAATCTATTCTTATTCCGATTCACAAAATGGGCCCAAGGATGGATTGTAATAAATATCGAGAAATTTCACTCCTTCCGGTATGTTATAAAATATTCACTTTTTAATCTTAACCAGTCGAATCACGGAATACGCCGAGGAAATTATCGGAGACTACCAATGCGGATTTAGACGGAACCGTTCAACTATTGATCAAATATTTTCTTTATGGCAATTATTGGAAAAAAAATTAGAGTACAACGGTGTTGTTCACCAGCTGTATGTAGATTTTAAAAAGGCTTACGATTCTATTGACCGCCAGAAACTGTATAATATTCTAATCGAGCAGGGGATTCCAAAAAAAACAGTAAATCTAGTCAGGATGTGCTTGACGGAAACACTCAATAAAGTTAGAATCGGTATTAATCTGTCCGAAAAGTTTGAGATTCGTTCGGGTTGGTTTTTAATGGAAGTCAACAATCTGAAAACGAAACTAGCACAATCTAATAAAATAGTGATTTAATAACATCGTAGATAAAGATTTCATTATTTAAAATGCTGTACAAATTCGTTTTTACTGCTTTAAAACAATTTTAGTCAGAATGGTTTCGAGATCGTATACGTAATAAATTTCGGCGTTAAGATGCCCTCCCATAAAATCGAAAAAGGCAATGTATTGCTATAAAAATTTCAAAACATAATTAAAGAAATTGAAACAGAGCTAAATGAGTCGTCTCAAATAAATCATTGATGTCACATTTATTAACATAATAAATACGTCTATCACTTGTAAAAATGGAATCTATTTTTGCCAGATCCATAAATGATATTTTAATTGAATTATTTTAAAATTGGCTCGACATGAACACGTTTAAAGAATAATGGAAAATAATTTGAGACAGATCGGCATCAGTTAGCAGTGTTACCATTTGTATGAGAATTCGCATATTTTTATAAATTAAAAGACTAGTTTGTTCAACAACTACTTTAACTATATTATTATTAAATATATATGAATATGTTGTATTTATCTTTTATTCCTTTATAGACGAATAAATTCCACTTATTCCAATTTTTATTCTAATAAAACAAAAATTGTTATTTCCATAATTGGTAAATGGTTGACTGTCGTGGATAATGAAGAGAAGAATAGTTGGGGTGGTCAGTCAAAAAAATTCAAAAATTGTTATTGTTCACATTTTATAATTCTAGATAAGGAAAATAACAAATTAAAATTTTACCTTCATTTTTTAAAAATTATATTTATTTCAATTATATATTACTTAACATCGAACTGTTTATAATAACTATCTCTCCCCCCCTCCCTTTAGTTCTAATAATGATAAGAAAATTGAATCATTTTAAAGATTTGTCTTTTAAATGTCAATAGAAAGTTATCCAACAGTTTTTTTTTTTTTAATATATGCATTTTTATACATGTTTTTAAAAAGAATTATGTTATAATTATATCAAACTCATTTTACTTTTTGATCCATTAATTTAAAAAAAAAATGAAAATAGTTTTAATACATATATAATGAGCGAATAAGCAGAGCTCTGATCTAATTTTATTTTTAAAAAATAAATAAAATTGAGCATAGGATGATTGTACAATTTTTTAAGAAACGTGTGTAAGAGGATTTGTTGCTAACAAGCGGCAACACTGTCAGGGACTGCACTGTACAGTTGGCAACATTGGCCAGTGCTTAACCTTGTTCATTTATACTTGATGTGCAATCTTAATTTATCCAGCGATATTATATTATAACAATCCGTGGAAGTGGTTTAAATAGTTTAATTATTAACTTTAGTGATTAATATATATTAGTGTAATTATTTTTATAGTTAAATACATGATGGCGCCAACGCTAACACCAGAAACCTTTTCTGCCATCATGAGGAAGTCCAAGTCACTCTTCTCTAGGAAGAAATATGAAGAAGCTCTTGATGTCATGATTCTTATTCAGGAAGATGTCGAAAATTTTGCCAACTTGAGTGATAATAGACGGCTTACTTTTTATAACAACGTGGGCATTTTGTATTATTATCTTAGAAAACCCTGCCTCAGTTCCTTTTATTTCAACAAAGCATACCAAATATATTTCCTTCATGTGTTCAGAAGATGTTCTAGTGAAAGTAGTCAACGATTAGAAAGTTTCTATTCTGATGCCATTCATAAAGTAATTTACAATATGGGCTTGTGCATGCTTTTCAGGATGAAACTGAATGAAGCATTCTTCTACTTGAGGGAATCTGCCCAAGGAATGCACAGATCACCTCTTGTTTGGCTGCGGCTCGCAGAGTGCTGCATAATGACTTACAAAAGAGATCATGAAGGAGAGTTCAGTGTTCTCAAAAATGGCAACTTATTGGCCAATAGCAAAGTGGGATGTGGCTTATCTTCTAAGATTGTTTTGAATAGTAGATTTTGCAGGGATTCGGGTTACACCAACAATCCTCAGTGTTATCACGGTGATGGACCCAGTTTGGGATTCGCATCCACCTGCCTCAAAAACTCCTATTTACTCCTTCCCGAGGGTAACAGTAGGCTAAAGCAAGCAGTACTAGCAGCAAGCTCATATGTTCACCTCACGATCAGAAATCCTGTTATGGCGCATAAGTATGCAGGTATTTTGGCTGCGGATTCTTGCCATGTTTATAAATATCTCAGTAAATTGTACTTGGCAGAATCGCTCGTTTTACTGAATCGAATCGGAGAAGCTATTGAGCTTCTGAAGACTACTTACATCAACGATTACGATTCCTTAGAGAATTTGCAAGAGGACGATTGGTTTTCCAACATAAACACAACATCTCATTATGTCCTCAATTATAACCTGATTGTATCACTGACTCTTAATGGGCAATTTCATGAAGCAACTGAACTTTTAAGAAATTTTTTGAGGTTGAAAGTGTCCATTAACGAAGTGCCAATCCATATTGTTGCATTGGCTCTGTATATAGAATTAGCAACGGGCCATACTGATGCCGCTAGGACGATTATAAAACAGCAGTGTCCACAAATGTTCCAATAATCTTAAATTAACTTAATAATACAAGTTGATCTGATACTAAAATGGGTAATAAGAATTCTCAAGTTCCTCGCTTAAAAATTACATTACATAATTACTTATCCGCTTTATATGAGAAATCTCATAAACAAACATTTTTTTTTAAAATATTCAATAATTAATTTTAATAGATTCAGTGACATTAACTAGATCAGATATTAATATAACTCCGTCCTCTATATATTTTTTTATATTATAAATTAATATTCTTTTACAAATAATGATGAATGCTATCATTTAAGTAAAATATTAATTATTTCAAAGATGAAAATTCTAAATAAAAATATAAAGTTTCTTTGGTAGTTAGTAATTGAAAAAGTGTGATTAAACACCTTCATGAAGAATTAGAAACTATCGTATGTATTATTTCACATTTCATACCATATTATTTGTAGTTACTTTTTATATATTTGTCATGTAATAATATTTGCTTTCCTCAAACTTACTTAATCATAATCAATATAATCAGTAAAAAGGTAATAATGACTATTGAGGTTGTTTTCCATCAGAAAACAATAAAATAAGTAGCTTTATGAAGTTCTTAAGAACCTCATTAATTTTTACTAAATCAATATTTTTACAAATAGGCTGTTTAAATAAATTGGGATTGCATAAGGTCAATTTGAAATATTTGAAGCAATTAGTATGACATGTAGACTATTCAAAGCATTCAAGTAGAGAATTAGACAACCCTGATTCTATAATCTATCTACTGTTATAGCAAGTTTTGTGTTTATGGTTGTGACATCCATAGTTTACTGTATGATTTAAAAAAAAAAATGAAGAAAATTACCAGTCTTAAGTGAAGTAGGCTCCTTGTGGAAAACATGACTTGATATTTCTGAGTACCAGTGCTCTACGGGCTCTGATCCGGACAGCTTCGGCCTCGTGCCTGATGACCAGATCAGGAAAAGGTTCTCGCCATACTCTGACTCGGACCTGTGAACCATTTCGCCTTTGGAAGCAAGATGTCGAGCCCACTCATCGCTGTACCTACAGAGCTGTAAAAAAAAATTGTAAAGTTTATATAAAAAGGTAATCGTTAAGGTATGAAATAGACAAAAATATCTAGTTTGGTATTCAGATACAGTTTGAAAATCCAAAATCCAAAATGATTAAGACATTCTCACTCACTCATCCTCAGAAATAAAAATTCTTATCAGTAATGAAGACAGAATTGGAGAAGGGTCGGTGAATCTAATACCAACAAAATCGAGAAATAGCAATAAATCCTAATAAGTGTCTAAAGTGAATAATTTCACTTATCTGGGAAGCATTATAAGTGCTTCTAATAATGTATTTCTGGAGATGGATAAAAGTAAGTGTTATTTTGTGCTTCGGGAGTATCTAACGCAGCTCATTTTAATCAGGCCAAAAAAAAAAATGATATTACATAATAAAATCTTGATTCGAACAGTGTTCACAGTTCTATACAATGAACTGTACCAAAGTTTAGGAAAAAAGGAATATTTATATGAAAATGGTCAATAGCATAGATTTGCTGAAAGAAAAGTGTTATTGTCAGAATTATGTGGACACAAATTAATTAAGTAAGGAGAATCCTGTTAAAATGCTGATGTAAAGAAAGTTTGAGTGTACCTGAGAAAGAAGAAGAAAAAATGGTGATGGTACGAAGTAAGATTTTTTACATATATTACATGTGTAAGACAACAGGACACTTATAGTCAGCTGACGAAAGCTCCTTAAGAAAGGTAGGACTCATACATGATTGTGATGCCACATTGATAAGCAACAAATGAACTATTGTTTAAAGAAGTTTTTCTGCTTAGGTCTTTATTTATTTACACATGTAAATTAAAAGATGTTGGTAACAGCTCAAGGACACAGATGAGGGGAAGAAGAACCATAGTGCTTGTTAATACCACTTGTCTTGTTAATATCTGAGTGGTTTGTTGAGATCTCTTATCCAGCTTCTCTTCATCTTTTTAACTTGACAGGAATGTCAGTCACATGTTTTATATGTTGTGGTGTTCTATTTATTTGGTACAGAATCATTTATGTTAAATTAACAGTATGCAAGTGAAACTTATATTGCTGATGTAACAGAGTACTTTTATTATTATTTGTGAAAGTGTTCGAGCACATTTACAAATATTTTTTATTTTAAAAATATAATGAAGACGACTAATGTGTTATGTTGAAATCTTGTTACTTTGTTTATAAATAATAAATAACTTTTTTAAAAAGAGTTTTCTTTTAAAAACGAGAATTACCTTTTTGCTGAGCCGCAGCGGAGGGGATTTGTGCAATGCCCTCTTCTCATTGTGCGCTTGAAGACACTCCTGAGCGAAGTCATCAGGAGTTACTATAGTCACGCTTGTCTCCTTCTTCCTTCCTGGAGTTGTCTTCTTCCTGTCTCCAGTACACTATAATGACAAATAATAATAAATACAAATATTATAATTTTTATTAATATTTTAAAAGCAATTTATAAACATAACAAAGCTGCGCGGTTGATGTTATACTAATTTTTTTTTTTCATTTTTCTACAGAATAAGCAAAATTGTTAAATATTCTTTCTTGGAGTCAATTATCATGGAGTTATGTAAATTACGTCCAAAATTTAGAGAAGTGATAGTAGACTTCAAAGGCAACAGAAAAATTCATTTTAAATTTTAGAAAACGATAACTAAAAAATAATTAAAAGTTAGGTAATTCTCAACCGCAGCAAAACTGGACAAAATTATCTTTACTAAAATCATTTGTAAGCGGATAAATTACTTCCTTTTTATTTTTCATAATATCATGGACCCGGGCAAGAACTATTACAGGCGAAAGGACACCTACCAATAGCGGAGGAATTTATGGGGGACGAATCTTAGGAAATTTTGATATCAGGTTGGGAAAGTAAAAAATGCTGCAAATTATTTCATAATGGTTTATTATTTCCAAACAATTATACATCTAAAGTAACATTACTTTTCTAGTGATAAAGTAAAAGAAATAAAAGATGATATCAATTATTGCCCTAAACATTTTTTTTTTGGGTCATTAGTAATTTGCTAAAAAAAAAAAAAAAAAAATAGCACTACTTCAATAACACATTCAAAAACCAAAACAAAGGATTTGAAATATAACATATTAAAAAAACATCTAGAGACCATATCTTTGCTCCTAATTGTCCAATAATTTCTTTTTTCTTTTTTTTTTTTAGGAAATTTCGTAAACTTTTTAATAACCATAAATTAAAAAGTGTATACTTTTTGAGTTATTCGGAATTTAATTTTACTATCACCGTCACTTATTTTCTAGCTTCTTTTCGTTGAAGTATATTATATTGATAAATTTAAAGTGTCTTCGAGAAGAAGACTAGCGAAGTTTCATTGAAATCTGTATATTCGTTTTGGCGCTACAGTTTATAGCAACGCAGATTTTTCGGCCGCCATTTTGAAAGTAAAGGTCGGATAGTAATGTCGATGAAGGAGGATCATCATCGGTGACTTCTGATTTTCGGACTACATTCGGATTACGGACAACAAAATTGTTATTCGTTTTTTGAATTCTACGTACCCTGAAACGTAAAATCTCAAATTTTGAGAGGGGTTTAAGTTTTTGTCCGATTACAATGGTTCACTAAATGTCACAGTTTTAAATAGGTTTTAAAATTTTTCCACATAAAAAAAGGAACTTTTGCGGATCGTATTGAAACTGCTGAGACCCGTAGCGTAGAGAAACATGCTATTTTCACGTTCTTGTTTCTCATAGTTTGTGAAATGTTTAAACATGGTTTAATAAATCAGTTCAGCCCGCTAAAGTTTCTTTGATTACATAGTAAAATTTTAAATACTATTTAAAAAATTCGAAATTTAGTTATTAACTGAAACACTAGTTTACTACAACATTTATTGACTGAGATGTTTCTCTTAGAAAGCTCATTTTTCAGCTCAAGTGTTATTTGTAGAACAAGATGTTTTTTTCATCTTAAGCCATAGTCATTTAAAAGGAAGTCTAAATGTGAGCCGTGGGCCAAAACGTTTGTAGACCCCCGATCCACATAATCATTGTAGACCACGGAAAAAGGTTAGTTTTCCCACGTTCTTGCAAATCCTATTTGGGAGATCAGAAGGCTCCTATTTGTAAGAAATAATGAGAAAGGACAAAAATGAGTAGCTACTTCAGAATGAATTCCATAGTTTACTGAAAAGAATAATAAATAATATAACTGATAAATATATCATTTCGATATCAAACATTGGTAGAATGAAACGTATATACTCGGATATATGGCTGAGGATTGGAGAAAATGCTTGGAAATGATGATTATAAAGAGAGGAAACACGTCATTTGATAACAGGATAACTCACGTTGGATTGATCTAACAATGTGATAAAAGGTTGTTTAGAGCTATTAATGGGGATATGACTCATATTTTACAGTTCATGATAACAAAAGAATATCACTGTCATTATTTCGTTGCAATCAGTTTCCCTTTGATTCCCTGTTCCAATAAAAACGACTGTATTATTTTCATTAGTGCCGGAACTTATTAAAATATTGAGGGGGAGAGATATGTAAGGAGATATATAAATCTATGGTTTGAGATCTGGTATTAAGAGAGTGAATAGAAAAGCGTAAAGTAAGAGTTCTAAGATGTACAGAGGGTTTTTGGTTCTGAGGACTTGAAAAAGAAAAACACCAAGAAGGAACTGCCGTCGGGTAGTAGAATATAGCCACTTCAACTCGGTGTATCAACAAGAAATATGAGAACGCTTGAGAATCCCGAAGATCAATCTTATGAGGCAATTCATAATTTTCTTCAGTCTCGCCTCCAGTTCTGTGGACAGCCCTCCGTACAACAGGCAACCGTAGTCGAAGTGGGGGAAACGATGGATATTACAAGGAGCTGTCTGTTTTTTTTTTTGTTTTTTTTGGAATGGAATCACGGAATAAAAGGAATTGTTTAAGGATAGGATTTACTAGGAAATGTGGTTGTTCCAAGAGAG